AGATCATACATGCTTTTAGCAAAAATATGTTTTAATATAAAAATTATTTGACGTACATAATGTGTGACGGCGAAGACGTTGCGTGGTTGTCGTCTGGACAGCCACAGTAAAGCGATTAAACCCGTTATTATGATATATAGTTATAAAAAGTACTCGGGGTACTCTAATTTTGTTATGATCTGTCAGCTACAGTACTGAAAAATTATTTCAAGCTCGCCGAGCTCTTTTGAGCAGAGGAGAAGAGAGCATTAAAGTCATTTGAATGACGCTTTAAATACTGTTATAAACTAAATGTTCAACGTTTTTCCTTACTTTTGCAAAAGCTTGTGAATCATATAGCTACAAGACCAGGAAATTTGACAACTTTTATGCTTTCTTAATACCCTTTAGACTCATCATCTCTTTAAACCATAAATGACTGATCTTATTTAAATGCAGATTTCTTCATCATTTTCAACAGTCGGAAACGACTAAATTTACTTCAATTTTAATTTGAATATAACCTCATAAGCCACCATTCCATTTGAATCATTTATAGTTCCTTTTTAAATAAACATTAGAAGCAACTATTGCAAATCAGACCTAAATATAGTTCGTTGGCAACTTAGACTTACACTAAGCGGGTCTGTTTTTATGTATACAAAACAGTTCAAAAATGGCTTAAAAAATTACTTCATTAATCAATTTTAAAAAGCAAGTAAAAGAGATGGCGCGGACTTGCAAAATGCTGACCGCATACTATCTACAAAATCTAGTTGATATTTGCGTTTAATTGTTCAATAAAATTTAATAATAAATGCGTTATGCGAAAAAATGAAAAAATGAATAATTTTAAGCGTGACTTTATCCATTGGTGTTGGCAAACTTCTTCTCACTAAACGAGTCATTAAAAAACACAGTTGATTACGGAAGGCTAAACGAGAAAACAGAAAAAAAGCCGTTTACACTATTATACAGCTTTTCAGGGCCTTGTACAGAAAATAATGAACACTTTGTTGAGTTTTTTCCCAGTAACTTAAACAATAACTGATAGTATCTAATTCTAATACTAATACTAGTAGTAACTAATGGTATCCCAATAACTAATCAGTTATCAGTAAATGCTTTTTCTCGTTCAGTTAGTGACAAAAAATATTTAAAACATGCGACCAAAGAAATCTTTGAGAGATACATCTTTCAAAGCCACTACACAACATTTTGACAAAAACGCTTGTTTTTTGTGATGGAACTACAGAATTTAATATTAAAAAAAAAGAAGAGGAACATTCATTGCAGTATTTTGTACTTTGCTTGCAGTCCTCATCAGATCCAAATCATGGTCACATCACAAAATTGTAGACATAGTTGAAGGTTAAATTCAGGACACTGTTTACGGCTTTGAGGGGACTACAAAATTTTGAGACGTTCCAATGATTTATGGTGGAAGAAACCAATATTTCAGCGACAAAATTTCGAAAAAATACCTCAATATGTTCATTTCTTTTTTCACAAACTTTATTATCTTTTCTACTATTTACTAAAAGCCAAAATTTTTCTCTTAAAATTTGATACTGCCATAATTTTACCAATAATTTCCTGAGTTTTTTAAGTATTCAACAATGTAAATAAATCTTTACTGTTCTGGTTCACTACTGGATGCTTTGATCTTAAAGATCGCAACAACGTCTTTCAATGCAAACTCAGAATAAAAATTTGTTTTCATTTATCGAGTTTCAAATTAAAACCTATATTTGACTGTAAAATCAGTCAAAATCGGAAAGAGGCTTTGATTTAAATAATTACGGTTGAATTTGCAGCATTTAGAACCACATAACAAATGGATTTTAACGGTCATATGGATAAAGACACTCTCACTGATACAACAAAAATTTCTGCACTCTTTTTTGCCAATAAATGAATTTATTAAATGGGTTTTAGTAGCAGCTTGTTATGTAAGCAGTCGTGTAAGTCCATTCTGAAATCCAACGTACTTTTTAATCACCTTCGCTACAATGAGTTTTGTGTGCGATAAATATATAGCGAGCTGACAATAAAAAAAAATATTTCTGTGCGAATACGCCTTTCTTTTTTGTGACGGAATGCAATAAATGGAGTGAAATCACATGCAGACGTTATCAGTTCAAAAACGTTCAGCCAGCGAAGTTT